CAGACAGACAGGCAGACAGACAGACAGGCAGACAGACAGAGGGGGATGGGAATGGGGGAGGCGAAAAGTTTGCAAGATCACAATGAGACCTTTAGGCTCGATAGTGTTTAATATAGTGTAAGGATTTTACACACGAGCATTTTAATGCCTTTTCTAATCTAATCCAATTTACAAAGCTGAAGAGGAATAGATATCTTACCACTTGGAACAGATTTTCCCTGCCAGGATCTCTGATTATCTCCCACATCCTGAAGATAATAAAAGAAAATCATCGCCTTGAGTCAACAACTAAAATAAACTTCAACTAGTCAAAGAACACTTTGGCTTAATAGAGAGTCTAATTAAAATTTGAAAGATTTTGTTAAACAAATAAACTGGCAGGGCCTCATTTGGTCTAGTTTCAAAATGTAAACTTGAAAGCCTGCAGGGAAAATGAGTGAGCAACCTTGATTTCTTTATAATAAAAGAAACTGGGCGACTGTTAATTTTCGCTCATCTCAGTAAAATGAAGCTCTTCGCTGCTGCCCGCAGAGGACGTAACATTTTACATGGAGTAGGCCTATCTCAGTCAGTCTGATGGGATGATTTATCTTACCTCGCCTGGGTTGGCTATGGCTGGCAGGGAGGGTAGAAGCAGCCCGCTTCCTAAATGTTCTAAATATTGTGTCGATGGAGACGTAAGGCATTACCAGTGATCGGTGCAGTATTTTGGTGTTAAACAAACTGTATAATATCTAAACTTAGTGTGCAGCGCGAAAGTTCAGCTTGCTTACGACATTGGTTGTTTACAGTTGTAATAACATTTTACCAAACCCCAACCAATCCCTGTCATCTATAATCGTTCTGTTTGTTTGTCCCCTGGATCATTCATTTCTATTCATTTGAGTATTTATCTTATGTGTCTATCTTGTCAGTATATTAGTGGTTTAGCACCTATAAAATGGCAGCTTGTTTCCCAGGAAGAGATTATTTCAGAATGCTATCAGATCTGTTGCGGACTATGTAGACTGTATAGTGTATAGCGCATAGAGCGTGTTGTTGAGCGGCAATTGGCGCTGTACAAATTGCTATCTTTCTTTATTAAGAGTAAGAGCATAGAAGTACACTAAAGGTTTAAAAAGGGGTAACTCTATGGTTAAGAGTGAAGTTATAGTGCAGTTTGTGATGCTAAAAACTTTGACAATACCGGCATAATTGGTTGCGTACAAAGGAGGAATCAATAGCCTTCGGTATACGAAGAGTTTATCACAACCATTTCTTTGAATTTCTCACCTGCTTTTCTGAGGCGAATGCTGTCAGAAGGAGACATGGAAAGCTGAAAAATATCCAACGCTCAGCCACAGTTGTAAACTTCATCGTGTTCACAAACTTTAAAATAGGTTCTAATAATAAATATAAGAGATTTGATATACGTTTGCTGTCTTGTAATATGAGTTCACAAAGTACGACGTATTTCGGAATGTTGGAATTCTTGAGAATAGAAATACATATGTACCTAAGTTTTGTAGTGGATTTCTCTGTTTCGTTGAAATTATTGAACTGATTGCCTTCCTTGTGTCACTCGTTTGTCTGTCATTCAACGTAAAGTTTACAGGCAATTTTATGCTTCTGTGTTTTATGTCCCACCTAACACACTTGATTAATTATTGTCTAACACCGTCTTTTGTGTTTCACAGCAGGATTAGGGTATCTGTCTTTCGTTTATTCTGCACAATTCACTTTCTGGAACACTTTCTTAATTACTTCACAGCTCACCCGCACAAAAAAACTAACGAAACTGTCTTTTAATCTCATTCCCACAAGTTTTCAGTCTCTCGAACGAAACAGTTTCTCACCAACAGTTTGAAAACGATTGCGCCTGATGGGTGGCGACCTGAGCACGAAGGGACAGGTTCAGGATGCCCGGGGCAACATGTTTGTCCCGTGCTTTCAAGCCCATGGAGAGGGTGGTCTCCAAAATGTGTGGACACCTGAACAACATTTCTCTCTCTCTCTCTCTCTCTCTCTCTCTCTCTCTCTCTCTCTCTCTCTCTCTCTCTCTCTCTCTCTCTCTCTCCCCCCAACATATCCTTCTCTCTCATCTCTCTCTTTTTCTTTCTCTCTACCTCCTCTCTCTCCCTCCTACTACTTTTAGAAGAATTGTACTCTGTTTTAAGTTACGTACGTATCTAGGACAATAGCCTAATTTACTCATTTATTACCCCACTTTGAAGGCCAACTGAAAAAGAAACCACGCGTAGACAAGAACAAAATCCTTGCCGATGTAATCCCATTAAAGAAAGAGATCTGCTTTAAATAAAACAGGTTCGTTTTTTGTTTTAAATCGAGAAGAGAGGGTAGGATTATCATTCACAATGCTAACTTGCGCGTTGGCTTGAAACCATGATAAATGGGGCGGGTATAATGGGTATCTATCTATCTATCTATCTATCTATCTATCTATCTATCTATCTATCTATCTATCTATCTATCTATCTATCTATCTATCTATCTGTCTACAATAGTCAAGCACGCACATAGTGCACGCGGAAATAATAACGCAGATAACTTTTATAGCGACAATTTCCGTAGAACACAGCTCTAGCCCTTTATAATACCTTCCTTTCATCACAAAACACAAGGCAATGAACATGCATACATACACTTTTTAGAACGATGTTTACACTAATTGCTAGACAATAATTTTCACAGTACAATCAATGACAATACATACATGATATGCACATCACATCATGAACATGGGTGCTACGCTTATGAATAAGTAGGACTAACTTTCAAGATGGCATTTCATAAAGCATGTTTTAAAATAGTTTTCAAATTTGCCTCCGACTTTGTATCCTCAAATGTTGTGAGAGAGAGAGTTCCAGATATTAAGAGATAGATGAGAAAAGAACCTCTCAGCGAGCTTTTAGTCTCCCTTTCTAGATGTTCTCATAATGAGACTGGTCTCCTGATCTTGGGGATCATGGTGGGACATATATTAACATTTTTACAGCTTTTTATCGTCGGCATTCATGTGAAAGTTTAAATAATGTTGTCTTATAATAATATTATGAACAAGGGGTAAAGTGTATAGGAAATGGAATTGGGCCCAAGACTGACCTTTTTGGTACGTTATAAACAAGCTCAAAACGGTCTGATTGGGTTCAACTAGATCAATTGGCTGAATCCGTCCTGATTCAAGACCATCTCTGCATTGTGAAACTGCTGACTGGTATAATTCATGTAAATGATTCTGATGCAAATGAAATTTTAATTGAATTAAAACAGCTTTTTCTTGGACTTTCGGTTTTTTAAAAAAAGAAGAAGATTCGAAATTAGTCTAGAATTATTTAATTCATCTGAGCACTGACAAAGAATGATATAGATAGATAGATAGATAGATAGATAGATAGATAGATAGATAGATAGATAGATA